AATGCCGTATGGGTCGTGGTTGGATCGGTGGTTGGAGGTTTAGTGTTCATGTCTCTGGCCTTCTTGTCCGTTCTCTGCGTGTTCAGACACAACAAGAAGAAGAAAGATAAACCGAAGCGTTCAGAGAGCACAGGATGGACGCCTTTGCGAAGATTCAAATGCAGTTCATACAGTAGAACATCCGGTGGAACTGGACATGCTTCTTCTCCTGGTCCTAATGGCTACAATGCTTTGAGAATCCCATTCGCCGAAATACAATCAGCTACTAACGACTTCGACAGAAATCTGATCATCGGAATGGGTGGATTTGGTATGGTCTACAAAGCGGTTCTTAGAGACAACACCAAAGTAGCTGTGAAGAGAGGAGTGCCTGGTTCAAGACAGGGCCTACCGGAATTTCATACCGAGATAACCGTTCTCTCTAAGATCCGTCACTGCCATCTCGTTTCGCTTGTCGGGTATTGCGAAGAACAGTCAGAAATGATACTGGTTTACGAGTACATGGAAAAGGGACCACTCAAGAATCACCTGTACGGCTCTAAGAACCCTCCACTGTCTTGGAAACAAAGACTCGAGATCTGCATCGGTGCAGCCAGAGGCCTTCATTACCTTCACACCGGTTCTTCACAAGGAATTATCCACCGAGACATAAAGTCCACCAATATCTTGCTGGACGAGAACCATGTGGCTAAAGTTGCTGACTTTGGTCTCTCCAGATCTGGCCCTTGTCTCGACGAGACTCATGTAAGTACTGGCGTCAAAGGCAGCTTCGGTTATCTCGACCCCGAATACTTCAGGAGACAACAGCTCACAGACAAATCCGATGTCTATTCCTTCGGGGTTGTCCTCTTTGAAGTTCTTTGCGCTAGACCGGCTGTTGACCCGTTGCTTGCTCGGGAACAAGTGAATCTAGCTGAATGGGCGATACAATGGCAAAAGAGAGGCACGCTCGAGCAAATCGTCGATCCGAATCTTGCAGGGCAGATCAAACTGAGCTCGTTGAAGAAATTCGGGGAGACCGCAGAGAAATGTTGTGCTGATTATGGGGTGGATAGGCCGACAATGGGAGATGTTTTGTGGAACTTGGAACATGTGCTTCAACTTCAGGAGTCATCTGGGCCTTCAGATGAGCGTAGAGAAGGTTCTAGAAACTTTACCAGCTCGGAAACTGCCCTTGCGGGCCTGTCTAGTGGCTCGAACACTCATAAGAGGGACAATGGAGATGGAAGTTCAGACATTACCAGCAGTCAAGTGTTTTCACAGTTGATGACCAACGATGGCAGATGAAAGTAGAGAGCTTATTCTGTTTATATAGGCGATTTTCGGTTTAGTCATGACCCGGTATCTCAAATTCGGTTTTGTTATGTGTTTCGTGTTAATCGGTTCAGTTGTATGTGTTTGTACTATAGAGCATATGTAGTCGATCATATACGGGGATGGATCATAATCATAAACCGGAGAATTAACGGTCTTTTCCGGTATGTAGCATTTTGCTTTTTTCTTGGGTTTATTCTTGGTATTTTTTTTATCTCTCTTTAATTTTTATTTTCTCACGATTTTAATAAGAAACGGAAATTTATTCGACAAAAGTCGAATTACAGAGAAACAATTTGAATACCCTCTCTATTAAACTGATATTTTAGTTCGGTTTAGGGTTAAACCGAGAATATTGGTTTACACGAACCGGCTTAGCAACTTTTGCCCCAACGCAACCAGATACTATCTCTGTCTATCTGAAGACATCCGAAGCATTGCAATGGCGTCGTCTCTGCAAGTGACTTCCACGAACCCTAGGCCTTCACTTTTTCAGTCCTCTTTCTTCCCCAAAACCCTAACATCGTGCCCCGCGTTCGTCAAGTCCAGACCGGTGAACTCAGGTAGACCAAGTCCCGTTCAGTGCGTTCTCCAATGGAACCGAAAGCCGGAGCTCTCCGGAGAAACGCCTCGCGTGGTGGTCATTACCTCCGGAAAAGGCGGTGTCGGCAAGACAACTACCACTGCCAATGTCGGCCTCTCTCTCGCACGCTACGGCTTCTCGGTCGTCGCAATAGACGCCGACGTCGGCCTCCGCAACCTGGATCTCCTCCTAGGGTTGGAGAATCGAGTCAACTACACCGTCGTCGAAGTTCTTAACGGCGATTGCCGTCTCGACCAGGCTCTGGTACGCGATAAACGTTGGTCGAATTTCGAATTGCTCTGCATTTCAAAACCCAGATCGAAACTTCCGATAGGGTTTGGGGGGAAAGCATTAGAATGGCTCGTCGATGCCTTAAAAAACAGAGAAGAAGGCTCCCCAGATTTTATCCTTATCGATTGTCCTGCCGGAATCGATGCCGGATTCATAACCGCCATAACGCCGGCGAACGAAGCGGTTCTGGTGACAACTCCTGATATAACAGCGCTTAGAGACGCTGATAGGGTTACCGGTTTGCTCGAGTGTGATGGAATTCGAGACATAAAGATGATTGTGAATCGTGTGAGGACGGATATGATCAAAGGAGAGGACATGATGTCGGTGTTAGACGTGCAAGAGATGCTGGGTTTGGCATTGCTCGGAGTGATTCCCGAAGATTCCGAGGTTATCAGAAGCACAAACAGAGGGTATCCGCTTGTTTTGAACAAACCTCCCACGCTTGCGGGATTGGCCTTCGAGCAGGCGGCTTGGAGGCTGGTCGAGCAAGATAGTATGAAGGCTGTTATGGTGGAGGAAGAACCCAAGAAACGTGGGTTCTTCTCGTTTTTCGGCGGCTAAATTGAACAGAGGGAATGGAAATGCAACTTGTGTGGTATGTATTCTTCTCTTGTATAGGAACTAGATGATGATTTTGCCAATTCTTTGAGAATGTAGGTGCTTTTGATGGACATAGAGTTCTAGAAATAGTTTTTCGTTGAATTGAAGGTGTTATGCCCTTGAGTTTTGTTTTTCTTAGTTTATGGTCTCTGCATCCATTTCTGTAAACTCAGATCTCTCCATGTCTTTTGAGTTCTTGAAATGTCAAATGCCAATGTGAATTTGATTTTTGTGCTAGTTTGCTGCTCTGATGGGAGTGAATATTGAATTTTGTGGTGGCTTGTCTGATCTTATCAGTGCCTGAACTGAACTTCCCCCATGTGTATGCATCTTTTGTAATGAAACTAGATGATGATATTGTTTACTCTGAGGGGAAGCGCACGATCTTTGGAATGGACCAATATAGAATGCTAGGGCTATCACGTTTCAGTTCTAGCTTTTGATGTTCTGCCCTTTGGTTCTCAATTTTCCTATTTTTTGTTTCATGTATATCTGTATACCTAAATTTATGACTTTCCCACTGGTCACATCCTTATGTACCAATTCTTCTGGTACTCATTTCCAGTACTAGTTTGTTTATGGGGTTCAAGCTTGATCATATGCCGAGTTTTTTTTATTTAGACAAAGAGAATTCCGGGTTTTCTTCAATAATTTCCACTTATAAGTATCTAGTTTCAGAGCTGTAGGATCTTTATGGCTACATAGCCACAGAGGATCATTGTATTGTTCTCTTGTCGGGTTCAAGCATATGCCCATATGAGATCTTGGGTTTTATGGAAGTTTTGTTTTTTTAAACAGTGAACACTTGGGACAATACAAGTTCCCATACACTCGGACCATTTACACTAATGACTCAAACAGTTGAACCACATAACTTCCGGTCTAACATAAACCGGTTTTGTTCGATTGGACCAGACCAGACAGATGCCCTATGGCATGTTTAACACGCATGCTCATCAGAACCGTAGCAACATCTATGATTACTAAGCTCCTCACATGTGTCGGAGAAACCAAAACTGATATGAACGTGGAGACAAGATTGGATCAGGCTCTTGAGCTATGGTTAGAAGCTTCTAGATCCTTGTGGCTGTCGCCATTGGAAGCTTCTAGATCGTTTTGGCTGTCACTGGAGTCAGTGAACTTCAAGTAATGCTCGATGTTCTCGGAGCTAGCGTTCTTGAGGTGGTTGAGCCACCGATGGTGGTGGTGGCTCTGCTGCTTGGGTCTAGGCCGATCACTGATGGCTATGGCGATATCGTTTGGGAACAGATTGCGGAGGACAAAGGCGTACAGGATTGTGGTCACGAGCAGTGCAGTCACGACGAGGGTGGCTACTGCCGAGAGGACCACGCAGAGGATTTGAGTCACCGGAGTCTTGACCACGGTGGCATACCTGATGGTTGCTATCGCAGCTCCTGTCATGGGGAACGTGTATGCCCACCAAGCCAGCGAGAACCTGCGAATATTTGGTACGAGTGAATATATTATCATTAAAGCAAGCGAAAAGATACATGGACTTACTTGATTCCTCTGAAGAAATTGATCCGCACGGCCTGTGAATTTGGAGCAAACCGAGACAAACTTCAATTAGAAACTAGCCCAAGAAAACAAGAGAATACGAGTTGTTGTTCACTAACTAACCAGGGAGAAATAGAGGAACAAGGCGATGAAGTAGCAAATCTTGGAGCCAGAATCAAAAGAGCCACTGATCTTGGCCCAAGCCATGGACGCGACGCTTGGAGCGGCGACGAACAAGAAGAACACTGGATGAAGCTCCTTAGGCAATGTCTCGTTGGTCGGAAGCCTCTGGTAAAGAGTCACGAACAGGACCAAGTAATGAGCCATTCCCACCGCGTAGAAGAAGATCGGACCTTCCTTCAGCCCCATGGAAGCTCCAAGCAAAGCCCCCACGAAGTTTCCAACAATGGAGAGATGGTTGGTCGGGTTAGCCACTCGGGACAACCTCCGTTGCCCTCCGGACATCCATTGTCCGTAGATCTTGAGCTCGAGGCATAGAAAAGGGAACATGAGAATGTACCAAAGGGTCTGTGGCAAATCTTTGATTACGGACGGTGGAACTCCAAGGGCCAAGAAGAGGAGAGAAATGAATGGTGCGAAGAAGAAGTTGACTCGTATAGGGTGGTAATATTCTCTGCGAACTGCTTCGAAGTAGAGAAGGACTTTGAGGGAGTATATGCAGGCGATGACGAGGATTAACCCTACGGATATGAACCAGAGAGCCTGGTTTATCCACAGAGGTACGTGTAGGAACTTTGTGGGTTCCGCAGTGGCGAGGGTCTTCCACATTATGGCTTGGCTGCTCACTCCGAGGCACATCCCGAAGGAGGATATCGGGTATCGGAGAAGGAACGGCCATGTTTTGTCGTCCGGAAGAACTATCTCCTCTTGTGGCTTTAGACCCAAAAAAAATGTCAATGTACATTAGGAGATAGGATTCAGAGGATGGATTCATACTAGGGGATTGATATATCTAATCTATGATCACGTTCATGAAAATGTGTAACGCAGATGCATGTACAAAAGAGAGAACGTACCCGGAGAGTCTCCAGTTCAGGACCTTCCAAGGCATCATAGTACCGGTCTACTGGCATGGCTTCATTGGTTATCACATTTTGGTTGGACCCGTCATCTTCATCCGGTTCAGCTCGGGCCGGTTTTCTCGTGAACTGTCTCTCGAGTTTCCCCGACCAAGTTTTGAACGAGTTGTACCTGTTGTCTTTGAGTCTCCGCATCGCTGGATTATGATCATAACCATGATCATGATGACGATGATGATCATCGTTCTGATGATGATCATGATGATTTGTGCCATTGGCATGGCCGTTTTCGATGAAGAAGGTCGAGCTCCTTGGCATCGGCTGCGAGAGAAACTTCACGGATTTAGTTACAAAGCCCTTGATGTCAGAAGACGATGATCTCGCGTCGGGGACAAGAACGTTGGGTTTTGCAGTCTCGAGATGTTCAAGCAGCCTCAATGGAGACGAAGGCATGGAGATGGATTGTTTTCTCTGGTGATTGATCATCAATGGCGGCGATTCTGTGTCTTCTTTTTCCTGGTTATTAGCTTCCATGGCCGGTCTCGATGGTTCTTGATCCGTCACCCCCTGTTTTAATTAACAAAATATTAGGGTTTGGGTTAATTAGTCAACTTAGTGGGACATAGTTGGGTTTTTTTGTTTGTCTTTTTTCATCTAAGTTTAAAGTATTTATCATTAATCTCTGAAGTTAATGTATCAGTGTATGTATATAATATATATATAGGTGATACATCAAGATTTGCTTTAATGAACCAGGATATTTATGCGAAGATTCAAGAATGGACAGAGAAACTAATCCAAATTGTCCAAACATTCATGATCCATCTAAACATAGATTCAAACACAGAGATGGATATGTATGTATTTGCATAAATTCACTGTGCACATACCGAAGCATTGAAAGGGTGGAAACGGCTGAGATCTTGATGATGATGGTGATGGTGATGGTGATGATGGAGCATGGGCCAGCCGTTGTCGATGGGCATGACGCTGTCGAAGCCAACCATTTCTTCTTCTGTGACTTTCCTGAGTAATGTCGGAAGCTCCCCTCCCTTGCCCTCCACTTGTATCGCCCAGTCTTTTTCCTCCATTCTTTTATTATTGGAGAATGAAAGTCAAAACCTACAGTTCAGCATCAGAAAGTGATATTTTTATTTTATATGTAATCGCATTTGCTATAATATTAATATTGTTTAGATCCAAATATTGAAAGTCGGGCGTTCTTATTTTTCTTATCTATAGAAGATTAACATCTTTCCTATAATTAAAAAAAAAAAGATATCGATTTTAGTAAAGAGTTTTAATAACAGATCTGTGTTAGAGGTGTAGGGTTTTAGAGTTATAAAACGAAAAGGATAGATAGAATTCAAAACAAGAATATTAGAGAGAAATTAGGAATAGTATTTATAGAAAACAATTACGTGAGAGCGTTTAAAATAGTTTGAATATGTAAAACATAGATCATCAGACGTTTCGTTTAGAAAAATAGAGATTACATGAATGAAAACGAGGAGAAAAAGGGTAGATATAGACTAATTTAAAATCGGATAGTCAGAACCCACTTGGAGTTATTACAAGTACTAGAAGATTTAATCCAAACTGTAAAAATTTAAGAATTCATATTGATGATCTAAATAAATTTAAGATTAAAACCAATTTGATGCGGATAAAAGATATTGATTTCTTTGCATTTATTCCAAGCTAGTTAGTAGAGATACTGATTTAATTATCTACGAAAATTTAAATTTTATTTACCCAAAAAGAAAATTTTAATTTTAATAATGAATACGAATATTTTTTTTATCTCATAGGATAGGATCTGAAAAAACACGGTATAGTTTTCTCGCACCTATTGACTATTGAGCGTAGACATAAGTAGATGAATAATCATAGATTTGATTATTTTTAAAATTTAAATTTAAAATTATGAGAAAACTATACCATATTTCGGAAATATTCTGTCAGTTTGACTCTTGATATTGATAATTATTTTAAATATTAAAAATCTAATGTCTAACTCCATGATTTGGTTCCAACTAAATTGCAATTTAGCAAACGATCCAAAACATATGCGGAAATAAAATCATGGACAAGAAAAAAAGGATAGGAAAGAACTTTTGACAGCTATACTTATCTGGCAAATGTCCTGAGCCAATGGTTATGGGAATAAAATACAATTTCTTCTACTTTTTTTTTTTGGGTGTGTATATATATATATATATATATATTCTAAATTAGGAAAAAAAATGTCCAAGAGTTAACAAATATCGTTGTTAACTACAGGTGCTGCTTCGGAAAACACAATCAAAACAAAAAGAGAACGAGATTTTCAGACGATAGTGGTTAACCACTATGCATGCATAGCCGGTTTTCTTTGTCAAATTCATTCTTCGACCGGTCAACAATATGCCTTTTGCTCTTATAATATACCAATAACCAATTGGTTAATCAAAAATTTCATAAGAAAAGCAATTTTTAGCATAAGAAAAGTGAACCGAACATACCATCTCGGATCGGTTTATCAATAACCAATCGGTTTAGTTAAAAATTCGTGTGAATTCACATCAATTCTCAAGTTAAACAATTCAACTTACACCCAAAGTCCTCTATTGCCATTTTTTGGTTTTTTTTTTTTACTTTTGTGGTTCAAAACAGTTCGTCGTTTGTCTTTTTGGGAACAGTTCCCAGATTTATCAAGGGAAGAAGAGAAATCCACAGAATTGAAAGAGAGAAATTAAAAAAAAAATCATATAATTATTTATGTAAATTAGCCTTCGTCATCTCTAATCGAACAATAACATCTTGCATGCGGATTCACGTGCGTACGATTCCATTGAGGAAAAAAAAGAAGATCAAGAATTATGAACTCTCACAAATTCTTGGAAAATAAATCGATGAGGGAAACGAAATCAACACTTACCTGGAAATTTGTAGCTGCAGATTCTTTTTGGGACCTTGGATATATTATGTCTGAATATTGGATAAAACCAGGAAAATCAAAATGCGGCGATCTGAAACCTCTTATAAGTCTCTGACACTTTTTTGTGTTGTGTTGTGTTTCTTCTTTGGACAAGGATTTTATGGAAAGACAGAAGAACTAAAACAAATGGAAAACCCGAGATTCAGGGAACCGATGATGGTGAAGAAAAAACACGGCTTTTAGGCATATATATATGTATATATATATATATATATGCGTGCGTGTGTACATACATATATATATACACGTATATATATATGTATATGTATGTGAGAGTGTGCGCATATGTAAAGGTAGGATATTAGGAATTAGGTTTTCCATTTTCAACGTGGCCGTCTTCTTGTAGTTGATGAATTGGAAATGTTTCACGTCATTGACAATCTCAAGCAATTTCATATTATTATTAGAGAGGTGCTGGACTATATTTACGTACAGGACAAAATCAATAAAATAAAAAATACGTTATTTTGAAGAAAAAAATGCCGTATGTTCGGGAGGTGATAAACATTGGGCTTAGAACGTAAATTCCACCATAATATATATAAATATAGCCTTCGAATTAGAATAATAATAATCTTTACGTGAATAAATATTGTAAGTCGGATTAACAATTTGATAATCAACTTTCAAATTAGAAAACGATCACAGATTTACAACAAAGGAATCAATCAAGTGGAAGAAACCGATTTCCCTTAGCAACAAATTAAAGATTTGTTAGGTATTTTGGATTGTGATGTAATAAAAGGTAGGTATGTCTAATTAGTTGTGGACTAATTAATTGATTATGGACTAAGATTTTAGCTGTAATCAAAATTAATGATTAAATGTCTGCAACAAATTAAAAATATTATATATGCGGTGCAAATGATCTACTTGAAGATTTTTGTCTGTATATGGAACGGGAACTTAGGTTTGACCATGAAACAAGTTGATGATAATGAAGACGTAATTAGACAGGAAACAAAAATTAAAGTAACCACTGACCAGAAAACATGTTTTGACGTTGATCATAATATTCTGTTTTTTTTTTAAGTGTGAAATATAACAACACAGAGCAGGCTAGCTGTTTTATTTCTTTCTGATAAAGTGATACAAAGTATTTTATTAATCGTAATATTTGTCGTATTCACCACCGATATCCAAATTCGTGAACTCGTGATTACTGTTGATTTTAATTTATGAGAATTTATTTTTCAGAGTTTATTGTTTTTGGATCCACACACACACAAACACTGCATGTAAAACTAGAAAGCTCGTGACTTTTACAAGAAAAACAAAATTGTTATTAGGCTATATTTTCTCTATATATATATATATAACTGAAAAATAATTATAAATCAAATGACATTTATCTAAACATTTACTAATTTAAATAAAAGATTGAATTTTACTAGGACATTATCAAAAATACCCTTATTTTACTATTTTGACTTCAACACATACCCGATCTCCACCTGTGATCATATGACCCGAAATATATTGTGCGCATATATTGATCTCATTACTTATAATGTTAAATTTATGATGTTTTAATCAAATGATTAGTAAGATATATAAAATATTAACATAATGAATTAGTGTGATCACCATATATTTAACGTTATAATCAATAAAATCAAAATGTGATTACACTATATTTTGAGTCATATGGAACACATGATCACAGCTGGATAAATGTATGTATTGAAGTCAAAATAGCAAAGTAAGACTATTTTTTATATAATGTCATTTTACTACTTCTTCCGTTTCTCAATAGATATTATTCGTATAATATTTTTTTATTTAACATATATTATTTTAGATTTTCTAGACAACTTTTTAAGAAAAATTTCAATTTTATCCTTAATTAAAAATATTCAATTTCAATATAATATTAAAAACCATATAATTTAATGAGGGTATATATGATTTTTTAAATATGTTTTTTAAAATTTGAAAAAAATATAAAACTATATGTATTAAAAAACGGAGGGAGTAAATGATTTATTTAATTATTCAATTTTTTTTGTATTATTTTTTATATAATTGAATAATAAAAAATTATATATTTAGAATTATTTTTGGAGAATGTAAAAAAATTATACGATGTAACTTTTCTAACTCCTCATACAAAACATTGAATAATAACAACAATGTTAATGCAATTAATTGCATGAGTTGTTTTGGTTGTTAAGTGGTTGTTACAAATTCAACAATTTTAAGAGATTTCAAGAGAAGAATCCGGTTAGATAGAGCTCTAGAAAATCTGAGTTATATATGAAGATTTCAGATGAAGTTAAAGACCTGAAGAGATAAAGTCAAAGACTAAAGAGATAGAGATAAAGATTAGATCTTGAAGATAGAGTCTAAATCAGAGAAAATCAAGGAGAAGTCTATCAAATCACTTCGTGGAGATCTGAGGCGAACTAGAAGAGCTTATATAAGAAGACAAGTGCATATCAGCTCTTTAAAGAGAGCACGGGTATATTTCTTACAAGTCTGTTCTGTTGGTGAGTGGTTACTCACTATTTTGTGAGTGTGAGTGTGAGAGGAATACCGATTGGGTAGTTTATCTTTCTCGGGTGAGTGATTTATGTTGTGAGGTTTTTTATCAGTATAATTCATTGTGAGAGGGAGAGAAATTCAGGGAGAGTTTTGGATGTGTGTGGTAAGTACAATTCTTACAACAAAAAGTGAGTTGTAAGAGTTGTACTTGACTGTCTTTCTCAAGTGAATAAAACTGGTTAGTTTTTCCATTTATTCTTTGAGGATCAAAATATTTTAAATAATAATAGTAATATCTATCCACAAATTCAGTGAATGCAAAGGCTTGTATATTTTGGTAAAATTCCAAATGAGATAATCGATGAAGATGATTGATTTATATTATTCAACACTTAACAGCAATAATAATAAATAAAATTAGCGTCGGCATATTTCTGACGTAGCGAGGGAGACGTAAAATGAATTCTATGTTCGAAACAATTTTGAAAAGAGTGAACTACAAAATTGGGAGATATTTATTTACTTTTTTTAAATGTCAGCTAAATGACAGGTCACATGATAAATGCATGGTTGCTTTGGCGGTCCATAGGCGATAGCGAAATAATTAACCCATAGTAAAATATTCTACACATATATATATTATGTTCGATAACGCAAATCTTTGATTTTGACGTATGGAGCATATTTGTCCTTAAAAAGTATTAAATTAATAATATTTCCAATATCATACATCATCGATATGCATAGTCATATTTTTTCATTTTAGTGAATATTTTGTAGATAGAATTAATTGTTTGGTCTTATCCAACCTTGTCATAAGATATTGAAGATCTTGATCTTTGGACCGAACATATCATATATACACGTATTACATAAACACCTGATTGCTGCTATATATTTTCAACAAATAATTGTATGCATCTTCAAGAGATGGACACTTTTTGCATTTAGTAGTGAGTCATTAATTCGAACCAGTAACACAGGTGAGCAGGGATGGACATTTCATTTCGGTTTTAAAGAATTGAACTGAACCGAAAAATACAGTATTTTTTCCGAATCGAACCGTTCTAAATTTTCGAACGGTATTATATTTAGAAAACCGATTTTTTTCGGAATTGAACCGAACCGAACAAACCGAATTTTAAAAAACCCGAAAAACCGAAATTTTTTAAAGGAAATATGTCTTTTAAAAAAACCGTAACCGAAACCGAACCGAACTTAATATAAAAACCGATTGGTAACTATTTTTGTAAAACCAAAAAACTGAACCGATATATTCCCGTCCCGAAATCGAACCGATTTCCGAAACGTCAACTGAAAAAAAAGAAAAGAAAAAGAGAGTCGACCCATCAGTCTCCATGTGCCAATCATGTCCTTGGACATCTTTACCCATCATTACATGAGGAAAGAACATGTCTCTCCTCATATCATTTCCTATTGTTGGCCAGTCCACTGATATGGTATCCCAAGATGGGCGGCCATTGGATTTGGTTCATGGACCATAAACCCTATCACGAATCCATGATCTCAGCTTTTACCAACATCCCTTTCGGCACGTCCCCTTTGTTTTCTAAGTCGTTGGGAACAACATTTCCTTCAGTTGCCTCACCGCGCTCTGTTCTGTTACGGTCTGCAACACAAATTTTTGGTTGGCATAACAACATGAAAGTTTCACATTTTCGAAAAACAGTGAACATATCCATTCCATAGCTCCATTTCCTGAAAAGAGTGCATTGCTATCACACTCCAACACCCGGTCAAGGTTTTCGATTTCCCATGAGCTGGTCCTAAAAGAAAAGTTAAGTCAATCCCTAAATAGAAGTACACAAACAAAGAGGACAGACAGAGCACTGACAGTTCATTTTTTAGTGTTTAGTTAGCCATGACACGAATCATATTTCGATATTCTATTCTTTTCACAGAAATCCCCTGCTCGGAGATTGAATATATCTTCACGGTTGATGTTTTCTTTTATCCTGTTTTGTAAACTTGGGACTAGCAAACCCCTCGACAAGATTGCATGATGTACAACTTTTGACTTGGCCGAAGCTAAGACACATTGAGATGGTGTAAGCTCTTAGGCTTTTTCCTTTATACTTTATAAGTATATATGAATGAGAAGAGAGGAGGAGAAAAACTCAAAATACTTCTTCTTCTTTGTATTTCTTTTCTTGTGTTTTTGTTGTTCTTAAAACAATTCAAACTTACACATATTTATAATACTCTTAGGAGGATTCTAGAAACTCTTAATAATATCATAAAATTAACTTAGTGTAGAATTCTAGGAATTTCTTTGAACACAAAATACCATGTTTAGACTTTGAACACAAGTCCCTAGAATAACCACATGGTAGAACAAGTTTATGTTCCAACAGTAGTCCCCCTTAAACTTGTTCCTTCTCGAACTGTGACTCTGAGCTGCTTCCGAAATGCTTGTAACTTATCCTTCACTTTGATCCACTTATTCTTCCTGTTATCTTCTTCAAATCCAGCAGATAGACAGAAATTAGTAAACTCATCATCAAACATAGATTCTAACGGTTGAGTTGTATCATAAATCTCCTGAATGCTCTTTATCTTTCTCACGGGTGAGTTACTAGAATCGCCGCTATCAAAACGGTTCTGAATAACTCGGGATGGTGAATTCTCCTCAACTTCTTCGAGAATGATCCTCTGCAATTGATTGCTACCATTCCAATCCCAACT